TTTCTCTCTCTCTCTCTCTCTCTCTCTCTCTCTCTCTCTCTCTCTTTCGTCTTCTCTTATTCAACGTTATCCTCGATCTTGTTTTTTTTATTCGATTCGTTTCGATCGTTTGTTATTATCCACGATGAAACGCTTTTGTTTTTTCAACGTTCACGTCGATATAAAGCATCGAGGTATTTAAACGGATCTTTTGTTCGTTTCAATTTGATTCCATTCACCGCGCGGTATTTTGCAGTTTGTTTATAATCGAGGAGGAAAATCGAAGATCGTTTTTATTGAATGTAATAGTATTCCCTCCGTCACGGTGTATACCTTCCCTTTGTCTTATCGAGGAGAGCGATAGAGGGCCGGCCACGGGAAATATTTATCGTCGGTATAATTTAATGCCTCCTTAAAGCCGATCGACGAATGCTTAATGTGGGACGAGAGCGCACTTTGTATTGTATTCCGAAACGTATCGTCGACGCTCGCGTTCCTTCCGATCCGACTTCTGAAAACGTCTCGGATAAATGAAACATTTTTCCCGCTTCTCCACGGTAGACAATAGGCTATTAACCGTAAGCACCAATTATGGGGCTGTGTTACGGCCGCGCTTATTTTCCCGGATAGTTGCAAGCGGATAAAGTAAGTAAGCCAGCAGAATCCTCTTCCGTCCGCATCCGTAGGGGATGCGATTAAACCGGAAACGCGTCTCAAACAACAAGTCGAGCAACGACTTTCGTAATCCATTCGTTCGTTTTGCCGCGCGAAACTCTCGTCGGGATTAATTAGACGACACGCACGATCCTTGTTCTTCTCGTTAAACTCGGCCTGTGAACGTTTCCATTTTTATTCCCCTTGTTGTTTAACGACCGTTATTCGTCGATCATTCGAGGGATCTCCATTACGAATCGCATAAACCTTCGGAATAAATAAAATTGCGGAGTAAATGAAATTCAGAAAATATAAAAAAGGAGAGCTAAGAGGGGAATGGAGGGCAACGGGGCACAGATATTTACACACGAATTTTTGCAGTTTCGTATCGGTTAACTGTATCAGCTTCTTCGGAGAAGCTTGTTTTCGTTTAACGACTTGGTCGTAACGATCGGGACAAAAGTAATAATCGTGTGACGTCCGTTGACGGAACGTTTATTCGCGTATCGAAGAACGGATCGGCTCGAATAAATCTTCTCTGTTATCTGTCCTCCTCTCCTTTTTCTTCCTTTTTCTCGAAGGGTATCGTGTCACGGTCGAATAGCAAACAGACGCGTTAATCGAGCAAGGCAGGCTTGTTCCGATTAATTCCTCAACAAGGGCCAACCGTATGGCTAATTTGCTAAGCCCCGTCGGTTTCTATTATCCCTGGCTCTGATTCAGGGATTCTGGATACGAAACCTGTTTCTCTCCGATGCAACACACCGCGCGGCCGCCTCTCGCGAGGGTTCAACGGCACCCGCCACAGTTCGGCACATTCGAACGGGCATTTTTCAACGCGACACGAGGACACAAAAGGTGGCACCTTGGTCTCTTGACCTTCTCACGTAGCCGACTTGTCGTCCACCATGGGCGTCTTATCGAAAGTCCCCGGCTGCATACGTGACGGGAAACAATCACCGTTTGCTTACCACCGGGAAAATACGATAGCCGACCACGTGATCCTGATTTCCGTGTGATTATTGCGTAAAAAAAAAAGAAAGAAAGAAAGAAAGAAAGAAGAGAAAAAGGAAGCGTACGTTTATATATCGAGGAATGATGGTGGTAGGGTTGGTGTGTGGATAGTCACGTTTCGGAGCGTAGGCGTGTTTCGTTGGAGAGGAAAGTAAGTACTGGTAGTAGATGATCAGGATAACGAGGTGTCAACAGCGGTGATGGCTGATTGATTAGGGTCGGGTATCGGGTGATAATATCTGAATTAATACGTTGCCTCTTAAGAAGGAATTTTAATAGTTCGTTACGGTTCATACCGATTTCTTAATCATACGCGAGAGATTTATTATATAAGGATGGAAATGGACAGGCTATCGGGAATGTTGGTTTAATATTAGAATTATCAGATTCTTGTTAACATGATGGATTTTTTCCACGATTGCTGAAAACTTGATTTTCTCTTTTCT